AAAATGAAAAACTCCTTAGTAAAGAGACCAACGAGGAACTCTCGGCTCCACCAGTTCAAACTGAAATCAAAGGGCATGCCTCTGCTCCATACTTTGGAAAGGAAGAACCCTCTGCGACTCCCACTAGCACTGGTAAAACCTTTCAGCCAGGATCCTGGATGCCACAAGATGGCAAGAGCCACAATCAATGAATGCATTATGGTTAAATCTTTTCATTTATATGAATGTGACTACTTTAACAAATAAAAGTAGTAAAAAGTTAATTATTTTGTATTTTCCAAATGTATAAGAGTTCATTTTTAGCATGCATAAAAAAATGTGAGATTATGATCCATAGAAGCCTAAACTCCTTTATACTTAAATCCTTCATTTGATTTAGTCGTCATTGTTTATGAATTTGCTTAGAATTCTTTTTCCCTCCTTGGGTTACTCCCTTGAGAAGTGTCATATAGCTATGAGTGAGTACATTTCAGATCCTGATCATTTAGGAAGCACCTACAGGTATAATTTGGTAGAAATAAGAGTAAATAGTGAGCTCTCTCAAGTGCTAAATTAGAAAAAAGAATGAAAAGATTTATTATTTCTGGAGAGGTAGCCTGTAAGATTCTGAAGTATTAATCAAAAACATGAATTTGGATAAAACATGTGGAGGCAAAGAAAATTTAGTTGATAAATGAAAACTAAACCATAAAGACCTTGATTAGAATGTTGGACAAAAGCTAGCTTATGGTGGGATTGTGCTTAGAGTTTCAAGAGAGGAATTAGGACCAATAGAAGTAGATAATCTATCACAAAGTCTGGTAAGACATTAAAGAGAAGCTGCAATAACTGGAGTTCCAGGAGATCGAAAATTACTTTGAAAAAAATGGAAAATAAAGGAGGGCTCTCAAAAAGGTGAAATCAATTTCATGGATAGTTGGGACTCCAATGGTTTGTATACTGAAGAAAAACGTAGATAGATGACAATGTAGATGTTTAAACCTGGATTACATACAAAAGTATTTTTAAAGGATCATGCATTATCTGGAGTGCACAACCAAGTTTTTGTTATAGAGCCTTTCTCACAGTGTTTGGCATATAATAGGTGCTCAATAAATATTTACTGACTCAATGACCCAAATTTTTACACTCTGAATGATGTACAGAAATCCTTGGTTAAGTGTTAACAATGAATTCCTAAAAACACATAGGTCAAAATTTTTACTTAAGACCGGGCGCGGTGGCTCACGCCTGTAATCCTAGCACTCTGGGAGGCCGAGGCGGGCGGATTG